TTAGAAATATTTATTTTATTATTTGTGTATATTTATTTGACGATGTGCCTCTAAAGATGAGTTCGCTATTATCTATCACACCAGCAAACAACTAAAAACTCGGTCGCACAATTTTATATATTTATATTTATTGAGATGCGATGCGTGAACTTTGCGGGTTAAAATCGTGCGTGTATATAGATAGAAGTATTATTTATGCGGCGCTAGATTTTTGTTTTGCACGATAACTATATATGCTTGTATATATATGCCGTATACTTTATAAGTATTTATGCTGGGCTATATATACTATCTAAGAATATAGCTTGTCACTGAACTTCAGACACGTGTATATATTACTATATCCACTATATATAATTTTATATGTGAGTTTTGTTGTTTGTTAAATACGCGACACAGTCGTTGCTAGAAGTATGTGCACGCACTGATTCCGTTTACACACGTCGGCGAGGCCGCGTCCAAATGCGAACTGAAACTGAACCAAGCGCAAAGATATCCTCCAGCCAGTGGGCAAGCGAGATAGATTCACAGAGCGAGCGAACGAGCGTGATGCGGAGAGAGAGTGAGATAGGGAGAGCGAGTTAGCTCTGACACTGACTCTGGCCGTTGGACTGACGGATGAGACTGAAGCTGGATGCGGTTGCGGCTGCTGTGGCTGCTGCGGCTGCTGCTGTTAGATACAGAGATAACTATGTGTGTACACACACACACACACACACACACACGCACACAATCACACGTACACACACATGCACTGAGAACCAAAAGGCACGTTCGAATTTTCAGTTTCGAGTTTGGGGTTCAATAATCAATCAAAATCAGTGACTGACTAACTGATTGGCTGACTGACAGTCTGACTGTGTGACTGGCTGACTCGCTGGCTATCTGGCTGGCTATCTTGGCTTTGGCTTTGGCTTTGGGCTGGCTCGTCGTAGCGCACACGAATGATGTCCGACCACACAGTGTCTGTTAGTTTTATAGAATTTTTTTCCATGCTAAAATTGATTTACGCTCGTGTCGTCGTCTTCAGTTTTCTTTCCGTTTGCTTTGTACATTTTGCCTTTATTTTATTTTATTTCTTTACTGTGTGTGTGTGTGTGTGTGTGTGTGTGTGTGCCACCGTATTCTGTGTATGTTTGGGCTAGCGTGTGTGTATGTTTGTGTGTGTGCTTGGCTGGTACGATCGATCGCTGGTTGATCGCTTGATCGATAGCTCTGTAGGCGGGTCACGCGTCACGTTCCCCAGCCCCCTTGGTGGCTTTTGTTTGTGTGTGTGTATGTGTGTGTTTTTTTTTAATTATTTGAATTATTTATGTATTTCATGCAGTCAGTCGTCACATCTGAAATTTTGAGTTCGGATTTTTTTGTTTTTGGGTATTTTTTGCTCAACTTTTTCGTTAATTGGTTCACGTTCACGTTTCGCTTGATACTGTCCGCTGGCATCGTTCAAATTTCGTCAGAAAAGAAATATTTGAAAATTGTTTTATTTTCATTATTATATATGTGCATACTTTTTTATTTTTTGGCGACGACCACGAGTTCAGTCCACTCGTCGTCTATGAATTTCCTTTGATGCTCAAATATTTCTTTTATATTTCATCTTTTTTTTTTTTTGCGGCGATTCTGAAATATTTTCATATATACGTCCATGTGTGCGTGTCTGTGCAGATCGTTATTTATGAAAGCGCGACGCATTTGATTTTTGATTTAGATTCACATTTTTGTGCGTCTGTAGAAGTTTTTTTCCTGTCTTATCAGCTTACTTGTAGACAGACGTATTTTACATATAGACCACGATTATCTCACAACTCATTCAAGACATTTGGATTATTTTATTTTAAGTATTAACAAAATACTCTGACTAATGGCACAAGGTGCACACTCTATAAACATTAAATGTGCTTTTTGGTTTTTCTTGGGATTTTTTACACATTTGGTTCGAAAGTAAACAATCAACACATTTGTTTATATATGCTGCGACAATGCAATTTACAACAATTAATCATATTATTGTTTATGATGTTCATACCCATGAAACAACTTTGATACCCTTTGTAAATAATACAAGCTGGGATTTTGGGTTTTATGCTAGTGCGCCTAAGGCATTCCTACGAAGAAAGTGATTTTATTTGAGAAAAAACATGTGCTAAGAATAATGAAAAAATATGTGAGATATCTACTAAAGTCACAAAATCTTTTAGTTATATTCTACAGAAGTTTTTTGCTTGAAAATTACACTACATGGAGGAATACAATTTGATTTGCTACTCTAATATTCTAACAATATTAGGAAAAACTATAAGTATATTCGAATAAATAAATTGTTGTCGAATAGATAAGACTAAACTTAAGTCTGCAGAAGCAGAGCAACGCCCGCCAGTGTCCATTTGCCTGGCTTGTCCTTGGTCTTCAGATTGAAGGTCCACACATAGGTTGGGCCACGGGTACGTGTCTTGTAGACGGGGCATTCGTACATGTTCCTCATGTCCTGCTTGTCTTGGGTAATGGCCTGCGAGTGTGGAGAGATATATGGATATTTTAGATTTTAGAATTGAATTTATGCAAACATGCGCCGCTTTTTAGACGCCACAGATCCGTTCCCAATTCAAATGGGTATTTCTATTTAGAATTCGCTTTTCGGCATTTGCATTACAAACTCACTCGAATATTGATCACTGGCATTGAGGGATATAGTTCTTTGAGACGTGATTCCATAATAATGCCCTGCTGTATATCCCATCTGGCGCCCTCCATATAGATGCCATGCACACAGCAACCGTCCCGCGGTGCCGTACTGTAATTAAATTCAGACAGAGATTTGCAATTGATATCGAATAAGCATGGATTATTCACTAAGCTCCGCCAATTAGTGGGGCGCCTCTGTCTGACGCCAAATTCAAAATACGAGAAACTGGGCGCCACTTAATAAGCAATCCGTGCATCAACTATCAGCAATCAAGACTCAAGAATCGACAGTCGGCAAATAGACAATTGTTAATTACACTTTATTATTAATTGCTATTTATAAATATTCGCTGTGTGTGTATTGGTGCGGTGTCTAAAATTAGCCCTCATGGCATAGCATTGCAGCTATTATTAGACTCAGCTTGAAGCCGTTGGCCGGATGAGCCGCTGTTTACACTATCTTCCCAGTGTAAGTATTGACACAAGTCATGTAGATTTACATAGCTACATAGTTGATACGACAAGTAGTGCTGAGCACGTGTCGTGCTCAATGGGACGGTCTAACACGATGTGGTTGGGAACGGCTTAATCAAAACCCAGAGAGATCTTAAGATGATAAAACACGGATTATAAATATAATGTTTCCTGATTATATTAGCATGGCGATTAGCTATGTGCGGCTGACTCAGCCGACTCTACACAGTCTTTACAAGCTAACCATGAGCTTAACTCAATCAATTTTCAGTAGTCATCACGGCTCAGCACAACTTTACACAATCTCAACAAGCCCAAGCACGAGTCAACACGAGCTTATTGCAATCGCTCATGCGCTCCTCTCTAGCAATGATTAGAGTAAGGTATGCAAATGTGTGTGTGTCTGTGTCGCCTAATTGGGTTGTCAGTACTGAGCACTTAGCAGTTCTATAGCTATCAGTCGAGAACTTGAACTGATGAAGGCCTTTCCGCAGCAGGAAAATAATTGTACTATATACGCATATATACCAATATATGTCCTATTGAGTGCCGTCAAATGGGCATCTCCAATGCAATGCCAGACAATGGTTTTAAAATCGGTCACAAGTCTACTGATATCTGTTTCGCGTAGCTGGGGGTCAGCGCCAAAGTCAATTAAAATTGCGTTTCAATAAAGTCGTGTGTGTCGCTCTTTGTCGGCCGGCACTTACGTAAATTCCTCCTTCTGCTTTTTGGTCACGTCACACTGCAGGCACATCTTGTCCAGCGGCAGCTCGTTGCGACGCGCCGTGCTCTGCATGATGGCCGTTAGCAATGATTGGGGATTAAAGAAGCCCGCCAGCCAGACGCAGGAGGGTAGCTGCAATCGGGACACAAAGCAAAAAGCATAAATATTTGCAAACTGGTTGGGTCGAGTCGGGTCGGCATACCACAAAATCGGTGGACCATGTTTCCAACTCTCGCAGGCGCAGACACAAATCGATAAACCAATTGTTGAGCCCCAGCAGCGAGGGATAGGCACGTTGTGTCCATATCGGCGGCACCTGGTCCAAAAACAACGAATTCTCGAGCACCTCCATGTCCGAAGTGATGGTCAGTTCACCCTTCAGGCCCAGATCGAGCTCCTTCAGGTTGCGTTTCATTTCGCTGGTCAGGTAGTTCATGCGCTCGCATTCCTGGAACGCCACAATCACATAGGGCGTACGCTCCTCCACTTTGTTCATAATCTCGACCATATTAAATTCCTCAGGCAGCTTCTCAATGATCTCGTCCACAATCTGTTTGACCTTGTCCTCGCGCGTTACTGTGGCACCGCCGCCGGCACCGGCATCCCGCGGCTGCATCTCGAAGACGGTGCGAAATATGTTCTCTGCTCGGGTAGTCAGGAAACCAACCTCTGCATTGGGATGCAGGCCATACAGGTAGGGCGACTCGGCTGGCATCATTTCATCCACATAGTTGTGATAGCCCACATAGTCCGTGTTGGGTGGGGCGGGAAAGGAGGGCGCCAGGAACAGCTCGCCGTCAACCAGATCTGGCTGCATATACTCCTCCAAATAGGTGATGCACAAGCGTCTGTCCCAGTCGTCAGTGATGTGGCCGCCGTACATAATCTCGCCGAATAGATAACGCAAATCCTCCCACGGTACCTTGGCATTCGCCTCCAAGTAGTTATACAGCACTGATACGCTGATATTCAAGTCGCCCACATTGAATGGATATATCTTGTTCCAGCCCTGGGCGCCGAATTTGCGGCGCTCAGCTACCACAGCATGGAAATAGCACAGCGAAAAGAGAATGGCCTTGAATTCGGCCTCCTTGCCAGACATCTCCAGAGTTTCTTGCGTGAAATTGTCCAAGGCCTTGTGCAGATTGGCCAACATACCCGTTGGCGGCTCATTGGTGATCTTTATGGAGGACTCCAAGATACCCTAAAAAATATCGTTTACTCACTTTATTTCATACTCTACCCAACACTTGCCTGTGGTATAATATGCGCCGATGGCGTTGAGGCAGGTTCTGCGCTCAGGAACATGCGATAGTCTGGATGGGAGCCATCGGCATAGTGCTCCAATTTTTTCTCCAGCATGGGTAACCACTTGCGCACCAAGTGAATGTTCTGGAGGACAACCCAGTGGCCACTTTTGGCTGCCGTGTCCATAGCTGCCTCAGCAATCGATTCCTGGCCCTGGCCCAGGGACACGTTGTGAAAGTTGCCCAGGTCCATGGAGAAGCCCAGTTGCTTGCCTAAAGCTTCAACGTCTTTCAGGGGATTGACGCCTGGAGAAAGTATAAAGAAGATGGGCGTGGATGGACTAGCCTCTTCGTACGACTTGGCAAACTCCATGGCGCGGCTCTCCACATATTTGGAGCCCAATTTCTCTTCAATAAAGTCACTGTGATATAAAGTGAATGTCATAAAAATTTCATTTTCATTATTATAGAAAATACTTACGCTAGTGCATAGGTCATGCGATCGGGTCGCAGAGCTCTGATCATGCAGAGACGCTGCAAGGCGGTTTTATTTTTCCATTCCTGCGGAAATTTCTCCTTCTCCGGCAGCTCAGATTCAACGAGCTTTTTCCAGCGTTTCGATGATGTCTCAATGTCCCGATCCAAGTTCCGAAACTCATCTTTGGACGCTAGACTGCAAATTCCGCCCCACGACTGATTACTCAAAAAATCCACAGGACTTGTCACATGTGGCTTTATCGGGAAGCGGAGTAGGAAGTCCAGTTCCGCGGATGAGAGCTCCTCGTTCATCAGCAGTATCTGTTCGAAAATAAGGGAAAAGCTTTAATAAAAGAATCTATTAATGTCGAGCGTGGCTTACCTGAAAAGTCATTTGCGAGGCAAAGATGAGCTTGTCGCATTCAAAAAGACCACGCGAAGTATACTGAAAGACCGAATACGTAATACAATCGATCAGATTTGAAACGCGCAATGCCAAAGTTTCGCTCGGTTCAGCCTTGGCTATGGCCTTTTGGAACACTACACTAAAAGCCTGTGGGAGAGACGATTATTGACTTCTGAGTTTCATCATTTGCTGCTGAGGCCTTAAGCAAACCTTCAATGAAAACTGATAGATCGGATTGATGGTGTTCAGCTCGTTAAGTATAAAGTATAAGAGACTAGCTCGGGCAGCAGCTGGCCTGTAGTATTCCCGAGCCTTATCAATTTCCTTCGACGTGATTTTAGCCTCAGCCACTTTCTCCTCAATATCCGAAGCTGTGCTTTTGGTTGTCTCCAGGTTCTCCACTAATGCGGTGTCACCTAAAATATTCTCACCCGCTGATGATAGACGCGAGAGGAGATCATCTTCCAGTTTCTTCAGCATAATCTTAAAATCGTTCTGTTGCTTAGTTAGCTCGGCTTTCAGGTCTTCCAAGTCTGGDCGTTCGGCCTTCACAACTTCGGCGAGCAGTTGATCCTCCAGTCCATCTCGAGTGACAGTAAAATTGATCAGTGTGGTCTGTGCTTGCATTTCAGGTTTATAGTGCGGATTAGCTAATTTAGTGTGTAGAATTAAACGGAATGTGGAATTGTACTCGATCTCCTTGTCACCGATCTTGATAGCTCTGCAAAACAAGGGGTGTTAGAAGTATTCACTTACATTAAGTAAGCGACGCTGCACTCACTTGCCCTTCTTGATAAGATTGCGTCCGAGCAAAGAGTCCAAAACGGGATCTAGATTCTCATCGATATTCTCGATCAGCACCGTTATGCCGGTATTAATGGACTTCTCAATGATATCCAAATAATTGCGTTGACCCAGCCGTATGACTTTTAGCTCCTCGCCATACTTCTGCTTAATCCACTTGACGCCCTGCAACTGAGGGTCAATCATGAGTGGCCAGCGATCCGAGTTAGACAATATTGTTGCATTCTCAATGGACATGCGATCGCTGGGCAGACCCTCGTTCGTCCAAATGGCAATGGTCGTGTCATCGGTAAGCAGCGTCAGCGGATCAAGATTCTCAGTTGTGGGTATGGGGGGATCAATGCTCTTTAGAAAGGGTGTCCACATCTTTTGCAAGAGATCAATGCGAAAACCCTTCGTAAAGCAACCGACATAGGAAATGAAGGCGGTAATGAGTAGTATATCGCCGGGTAAGGTAATGCCCTGCTTGACGAAGCTGAAAACAAAAGTAGTTTGCATTAGTTTGCATTAGAGATCTATTGTGGGAGTACTACTCACTTATTGACTGCTTCAGCCCAGCGCACGTTCTCGCTGGCCAGACCGCCGACCAGACGATTGGCCAGCGCAATGGTTGCCTGTGTGGCATCCGCCTCCTGCTGACAACGTAGCTTATCCGCAATCGCCTTTTCAAAGTCCGCTGTCAGCTTGGCCAGCTGCTCCTCAAGACTCTGCGCGTAATTGAAATGAAAGATAATTTTAAAATTATAATATTTACATTTACGGACTTACCGCAACTTTGCGCTTGATGCCCGCCAACTTGTCCTGTGCAGCTGCCAGCTCTGCATTAGCAGCAGCCAAGGCCTTGCGCTTCGGCTCCACATCGCAATAGACTTCGTAGAATTTAATAATGTTGATGACCCAGGCACAGAGTCCAGCCGCAGCACCCGATTTGGAGCGGACGAATTCAGGTTCGAATTCGGGATCCTTGAGATAAGGTTGAATGGCTTTAATAATTTCCGGATGTATATTCTCCTTGTCATAGTTAATCAGGGCATCCAGAAAAGCATCCACCTTGGCCATGGAAATTTTGGCCGCTTTCCAGGATCGATCCTTGGGCAGTTTGCCCCCAGGTGCCAGCAGGACCATGACGGCAGCGGTCACATTCGTCACTGCACCCGGTGGAGAGCCAAAGCTCTTGAGTTCTGTCAGGTTGGCCTTGTTGAGCGTGTTGAGTGCCTCTTGGGCGGCCAAGAGGGCGGGCTCAGCCTTGAGCAAATCTTCCTCGCAATCGCGCTGCTTTTTGCTCACTTCGTCGGCTATCAAAGCGACCTTCATTTCCTCTTCGTCGGCAACCGCTTTTTCCGTTTGAACTTTTTCCGTTTCAATGCCCACAATTTCGATCAAGGCATCCGCTGCGTCATTCTTCTCCTTCAGCTCCACCTCCTGCACGGCCAATTTGACCTTGAGATCCGCCACCTGCACAGCGGTGGAGCGCAGCTTTTCCAATCCATTCTCCAGACGCTCAATTTTGCTCTGCAAGTCCTCGTGCTTGTGATTGAGTAGCTTCAGATAGAGATTAATCTGCTCAAGATAACTCTTGGGTGTGGTATAATTATAACGACGTTCGTTCTGTAAATAAACCTTGGACGTCGTATTAACCGACGTGTGTACGTAGGCCATGAACTTGGCCACAGAATCGCGATGAGTCTCTGGCAGCACTTTGTTTTGGGCCAGAAAGTTCATGGCGACCGAGATGAGTGCCTCCTGAGGCCATTCGTGGAACCAATTGATGGATGTTGCATTGATGATGGCAGGGAATTTTCTCGACCGAACACGCAATGTTGAACCCACTGGTGAAAAACACAGAACTATCTTCAATTGCTTGCGCACACGATCGATGAAGAATTTCCAGCAGTTTTCACGTGTATCAACCAGTCCCGCACCTTTGACCTCATTACGCACACCAGCGATTATGTTCTCGATTTCGTCATCCGGAAATAGATCTGGAATCTCGCCAGTGGCTAACAAATCGTTGATTAAGACAAGAAAATCCTCGCTAGGTATCTGGGCGTCCGTCATTAAAAACATAATGCTAACATTTTTCAGGCCAGCTTTCAAATACAAGCCGGAAAACTCGTTCTAAGTATTGTATATACATATGTTAAAAGCGGTTAGAAATTATTAGATATCAATTAGAATATATGAAGAGGACAGACCTTCAAATCATTGACACCGTAGCCCTTCTTCAGCTGTATTTGCACAACCTCCAAGCTGGATATGAATGCTGCCAAGCGCGCTAGAGATTGTTTTCCACTGCCACCAACACCAACCAATAAAGCGCTGCCACGCGGCGATTCTAATATGCGATTGATTCTACACGAATCAGACAATAATAATCCGAATATAGTTTATCTTTTGGAACTTGATAAGCCTATATAAGACTTACCTGCAGACATGCATCATCGCATCCTCGAATAACACCAGATTCATGGCAGCGACTAGATCATTATACGATGACATTGCTTCCTGAAGGAGTTTGTGAAGCTCAGGCCAACCCTTGATGGGCATGTACTTAGGATCACCAATTCCTCCAGCGAAATGACAGTAAATATTCGGTTTGTCGAATATAACGGATTCGTCAATTTCTTCGAACGACTTCTTGACAATGTCATGCTGCATTTTCGTAAAGCTATCAATGTCCTTATCATCGATTAGCTTATCGGAGTACACACGCTGTGTCTCGTGTTGCCACAAACGTATAAGATCTGTGGAGCTCGTCAAGCAATCTGTCGAGCTAAATAAAAGACCCTGCAAAGTATAATAGAATACAATGAAAATAATTGCAATCATCTGAATCCTGTGCAATACTCACTTGAAAAACATTGCTGATGTCTCGAAGATTGAAGATATAGTGGGATTTGATAGCCGTGGGCAGAAAGACCTGCAGGCACTTGTTGTGCAAGGCAATTGTGGCCGCCACTATATTGGGCGTCATTCGCGTCACGATCGGCATGAACTTTTGCTCGGCATTCGCAAAGTGCTGCGACAATATCGCCGAGTACATGACCGTGATGGAGTCCGTGCCCGGAAAGCTAACGGCTAGCACGCAAAAGTGCCGCTGCAAACGGGGATTGATGGTGAAGCTGCCCGAGGTCGGATTCATGCACGCCACATACTGACAGTTGTGTATATCCTTGAGGGTCAGCTTGTTGCGATCGTACCAGTGTCCGTAGTCGAGATGTTGTCGCATCAGCGTGTGCGGCTGCACGGTGCCGTAGCAGTCCACCTCGGGCATGTTGATGTCGTCAACAAAGTAGATCAAGGTCTTGTTGCCAGGCGGTCCGTAGTTGCGACCCGCTTTCTTCTCCAGCGGCTTCTCGAGTATCTTTTGCAACATTTCGGACGTGGTATAAAAATTGAATGGTATTGTGGTGACAGCGTAATTCTCAGAAAGCGATTGAAGCTTCTCATTGACCAGTACGGTCTTGCCGCAGCCGGCATTGCCTACTAGCATCACCGGGTGCTTCTTATCCATCAACAGATCCAGAAAATAACGCAAACGTATTGACTCGGAGGTATGCACGAGCACAGCTTGCAACGGCAAGTCCGAATCCAGCTCGAATTTCGTTATCTTCTCGGTCCAGGGCAGGAAAGTCTTTGTCTCGCTATCCAGAAAATAATCAAACACCGTTCCGCCTGCATTTTGTGGATTTTGCAATTCGCATTGTTAGTTCGTCGTGATTCCCAAGGGAAATTCCAAACGATTTTGCTACTCACCCGATGGAAACTTAACAGTTTTGAACTCATTTACCCACCATTTGCTGAACTCCACGCGATAGTCAATGGCTTGATCCTGAAACATGGCCGAGCCGAATGCCCAAATGCAGGCAAAAACGAAATACAGTTCGTGCCACTCTTTTGGACAGTCGGCCGGTGTGTTAGCTGGTATTAGAAAACAGTTTAGCAGATGGCACAGCATTTGTATGTGGGCCATTTCAGCGACAGGCGTGATCTTTTTAAAACGCACGCGTATCGTGTCCAATGAGGGCGGTATGTACTTATCGAATAACATGACCAAATTGGACTTTTCGGCTGGAATTTTGCGCGTTTCAACCCAACTGGTCACATAGCTGCAAAGAGAATGAAGCGAATAATGAGAAATCTATAAATTGGTATATAAATACATCTCTTAAACAATTGGAGCGTCTTCTGAATAATCTACCTTTCAGCTACTCGGTCAATTCATAGACAGTCATTTAATCATTCCGATTATCCTACACCTGTTTAGATTTATATATGATTGTATGCTAGATGTGTCGCTACTTACGGATTCCAACCCAAGTCCTGGGGATTAATATACAATATGCCAGCTCTGGAGACAGTTGCCGGTGTCGCTGTTCTCAGATTGGAGATCTCAAAGAGCAAACGCATCGAAGGTGTCAACGCAATGCGCTCATTGCTGGCCAAAGTCAACACTTTGTTATCGTCCATAACGGTATTTAAGCTCTCGATCCACATGGGATCGATGTCGCCATCGAGCACAATCCATTTGGGTTGATCACCCGTTATGTTTGCCTGATCCCGCATCAGAACTGAGAACAGTCCGTCCTTCCATTCGCGCGTCGCCGGGTTGATAATGCCGAAAAGTTCATCATTGGTCACCGCTTTTGGATTCAAGTCATTGAATATGGGCTTCCGCTTGATGTTCTGATAGGTGCGCAGCAGCGTCTTCCACACTTGGGTTTTTCCGGTGCCCGCATTGCCAACAATGAATACAGAATGACGTACCTCCAACAGTTCCTCCAGTTGCACTACTTTCAGTATAAAATTATCTTCCGGTTGTAGTAGCAAATCGGAGGCAGCTTGTTTTACGGTGCGTTCAAAGTCCTGATCACGTTTGCGGGGCACATCCAAAGCGGGAAACAGATCGCTGATGAGACCCATGAACACTGGCATATCATCTGTTACGATTTTCGGTATATTGAAATCGCGCAAAGCGCGCATTAAAACCTCCTCCTCCGGCCGGCCAGGATCGCCTCGCTGTAAGAATGTTTAGAATTTTGCATTTAGCGCAAGACAAATAGATGGAAAGGCAGCACATTCACCTTTAGCGATCCAGCCACTACCAACACCGACTTGATGGCACGTAGGCCCCAGTCATAGTGGTCCTGCTTGGAGAGCAGTTCCTTGCAAAGCGTATAGAGCGTAATGAATTTGCGGGCTAGAACACGTGCATCCTGAAATCCCTCGGCGACCAGCATGATCTCACAGATAAGTTCAAAGTCCGGTACCACCATGGCGCAGGGACGGAACAACGCCTTCAGATTCTCCGGCAGCTCAGTGCGTCCGGCATAGCCCGGATTCATTGTAATAAATATGCCCACCGTGGGCACGCACGTGATAACCTCGCCCATGAAATTGAACTTCTCCTTCTTATCGCGTATGGCATCCTGGACGGACTTCACCTGGACTGCCACAACGGAGAGTACTTCCACCGTAATCCTATTGAACTCATCGAAGCAGCCCCAGGCGCCCGTCTGGGCAAGACCCTTGTAAATATTGCCACAGGATTGGTAATCCATCTGCTCGGAACAGTTGAATACATAGACCATGATGCCGATGGCCCGGCCCAGATCCTTGGTTGTCTCCGTTTTGCCCGTGCCGGCCGGCCCAGCTGGCCCACCGCCCATCACCAAGTGTAAGCTCTGTGTAAGTGTTATGTAACAGCGATCTGTGAGCGGCGTGATGACCAGGCGTGGTGTATTGCCTAAGTATTCGTGACAATACTGGAACTCAGCATCGCAAATATTGGCAAAGCAATCCTTTTCCACATCATCGAAACGATGCCGCAACTGCGATTGCCACATAAAAGCCGAGCCTGAATCCAATTTGGCCTGAATCATCTTAGCGACCACATCTCTCGAGTGCACATCAATGGTGCATATCGTCATGATTTTCTGACGATCCCCCTTGGTCAGCTCGCCGAGCAGAAGTGTAATGAGTAAACTGAGTTGTGAGATTTGTTTCTTATAATAGTCCTTGATCGCATTGTCGTAACCCTCCTCCAAACGGCTGAACGCAATGTTCACCTCAGTGGACCACCAGATCTGTGAGCCGCACAGCGATACCTGGGCAGGATAATCGAATAACCATTGCTCACGTTGCTTTTCCTCATAAGCGACAACAGCTTCCGTAACATAATGACGCAGTGAGGCGCGCATTGCCGCTTGTATGCGATTTAGCCACACTTCAACCGGGCCACGAATGCTGGCCAACTCGTTGAACTCCACATATTCGCCATCTTTGGCATACATGCCAGAAGCTGACTCTATCTCATTGGCCGCATCGCGGTTAAATTTGAGGCGTGCTATCGAATCGAATAGTTTTGTGAGATGCTTGGTAACCATATCGGGCTGTATGCCATTGCTAAGGACATCGAGCAAATCGGCCGATGATACAAAATAGAAACGAGGAAAAGCCAAACGTTTTGTTTCCAAATACTCTGCCAGTGCCTTTTCGCATAGCGTTAGCTCCTTTTGCAAATGCTCCAGACGTTCGATCAGGCCAGCTCGATTGGTTGATGCCACCACATTCGATGAGACGGACATCTCATCCATGAGTATACGAAATTCGGCATCGATATTATCGAAACGGTCCGAATCGACCGGCAGCTGTTTGCGTATATCTTCCGAACTCATGAAGATACTCTCAAGATGGGTCCAAGTGCGTTGCACCTCAAACCAAACGGTTATAACTTGATCGGCAATCATTAATTTATTTTGCCAAGCTGAAACTTCCTCGAGGAAATGGGCGATGTACTTGGATGTTATTAAATTTTGTAGGCACACCTGGTTCTCCTCGAGCGTCTCTATGAGTTCTTCCGATGCCTTAAGGAGTTTACACCCTGTGCGCGGATGCAGCTCATTGTCGAACTCCATGGCCGACCATGTCGAGTTCAAGTCCCTCAATATCTTCTCCATGGACATTTCCTTTACCGCTTTATCCACAATATTTTTCACCTCCTCCTCGCATTCGTGCAGATTCAAGCCCAGAAGCTCGGCCAGTGTGGTCTCGTGATCCATTATGAATTTTACCTGTGAGAATACATTACCAGATCTATCAGTTACTATATATTTAACGTGTATACATTTATGGTTGAGCTACGATTTCTACTTGAAATTCTTTACAACATGCATAGAACTTACGGTCACTTCCTTGGGCAAGGCTGCCAGACTCTGGAATGAAATGGTATTTACAAGAAACTGTACAGTCGAGGCGTAACTCTATAGTATATATACACATGGGCCTCTTTAAAATCAAGTTAGGATTAAAAATAAGAAAGTTACTTATTTGAATTAGAAATAGATTTTCATTGCTATACAAACGGGCTGGTGCTAGCATTAAAAAAGAAATTTTCGATCAATTATTTACAGTATGCCAAATTAATCACAGGAAAACTCTGCATGAGAGGTGAGAAGAATAAATAGAAACTGAAAAATAGACCTTAGTGGAGTTCATCAATTGATTCCAGTGACGTTCGCGTATGGCCGGATTTTGCAACTCTCCGACAGCTCGAAGCGACGTCAGCATATTCTTAACCGTCGACTCCAGATTAATGAACGTATCCCAAACACGCATCTCCTTGTCCAACAAGCGTATATCCTTGGCAAACTTTTTACACTCAATATCCATGTTCTCCACGTCGACTTTGCGCCAGGGCGTGGTCTTCCAATCCTCAATGCTGGTTTGCACTATATTCACGTAATCCCAGAGTTGCTGCGATTAATTGATATAATATATTTTTAGTTTAGTTAACAAGAGCTATGATCGAATTATAGTTTAGTTAGGATTTGTAGCTAGTTAAAATGTTATAAAGCTCAAAATTCCAAATGTAGCATGCAGTACATAGGGTAAAAATTTAGTAGATTTAGTGAACTATATAAGAAACATGAAAAAAATTAGTTAATGAATTCAATATCTCGGTAGATACCTTGAGCATGCGCAGTTCCTTACGACATTGCTTGAGCACCTTAAACTCCGGAATATTCACTTCAAAGAGACTGCCCGACTTTTGTATCTCGCCCATTTCGCGCTCGCAGAGATACATATCATCGTTGATCCGGTCCATTAGTAAATAGGGATTTTTACAATCGAAGCGAAAGAAGTCGTACTGCTTGAACACCTCACGGAAGAGCTGGATGTGCGCCTCGAAGAGCGTTATCTTATTCCGTATGCTAACCACCTCGGTGGCCTGGAGTGGCGACACCTGTTGCTTCACCGTTGTGGCTATCTTCTTGGTGTTTGCCCACTGCTCCGGCAATTCCTGCAGCAGCACATTCACCTCCTCGGGTATGTCCATGTCGTAGTATTTCAGCAGCTGGATTGTCTCCTGCATGGGCTCGAACATTTCATCCGTATTGGCCGCACGCTCCTTCACCTGCATGAGATAGGCCATGATGCTGACCAGGCCCTCGTAGTCCTTCTCTTTCACCGTCTGCAGCAAGCCCTCGTCGGCCTTGCGTATAAAGTGACTGAGATCCATCAGACTGGACGTCACAGTGTTCACCAGGTGCATCTTGAACATGTTGCCCCACTTGCAGACAGTGTTGAGCAGCGCCTGTCGAAAGGGTCGCACATCCACTTGAAACCAGGAGCTGAACACCTGAAATGCGGGAATATCCTCAATTTCGGTGAACAGCGACTCATAGTTGTCTATCTGCTCTCGAAAAGCTTCAATCGTGGGCTGACACGGCTGTGGGGGCGGCGGTGCAGCTGGATCATTCATTTGCAGCAGCTCGATCTCGTCTGGATCCAACATCCGGCCATACTCCAAAAAGTATTCCATGCACTCCTCACGGTCATCCAGCCACAGGTACGAATAGCGCTCGAATTGACGGCAGAAGCGCGACGCCTCCTCCATGACCAAGTCGACGCCATTGAGTATCTCCCGTCGCATATCAATAATATCCTGATTCTCCTTAATCAGCTCCACATAATTGCGTTTCTCATTGGGCTTGAGCCGCTTAATGAGCGAACCCATTTTCATAATGTCGCGCATGAGTTCGATAAGCATATTATTGAAGCCCATGGGATCCTCGGGATCTAACGAGGGCACGAACACCAAGTTGGGCTCCACCAGCTCCAGGCGCGACTCAAATAGCGGTGCATAGTTGTTATCTGGGTCCATATTCTCTGCCAGATAGCCCACACTTACGCCCACTGTGCGCAGAATGTTCTCGTACACAATATTATCCACAAAATCCACATAGCTTAGCCAGACAGGATCGTTTTGCTTATCCGCCATGTCGAACTGTAGCATATTATCCTGGAGTAGTTTATGTATCTCTACAGAGGCCGCCTGGATCTCCGCATAGCGCTTGGCAGTTCGATCTGGTCGCTCATCAATGGAGAGTACCGAATCCTTTTTGCAATCGCGACGCTCGAACAGCGGTTGTTTGGCCCAAACCTCCATAATTTTCCGTATTTGACGTAGATTCTCTTGGGTGTGATTCATGCGATTACGCAGGGCAGCCACCGGCTGACGTAACTTCTCCAGATAACTCATGATATCTGAGAAGAAATCATAATTCGATTATTTATCAAAAATAAAACGCTCGACTGCTCACCTGCTGAATTCCATACGAGCTGATCCACACCAATTTCAACCAGATCATCAATCATCTTAATCTCGGGCTCAATCAGCTTGAGCTCCACTGGTGAGCTGCCCTCCTGTATGCTGTTGTACCAATCGATGGTCTTCTCAAGATTCAGTGTATACGAGCGAAAGACATCACTCTTCTCTGCAAACTCAATCGCAATCTCCGGTATGCCATCAATTTTCATCTGCTGCATGTAGTGCACCTCGCGCAGTATGGAGAACAGGGTCGAGCTAAAGTTGAGGATCAATGAGTGACTGTGCTGATCGCGTGAAATAAGCGACTTTTTCAGATCCTCCTCAATTTGGGCAGCAAGCTGCACGGACCAATCCTCAAAGAACTGTCTCTTACAGGTGCCCAACTTGGCCATTAAACACTCATAACGTTCCATAATTTCCAGAGCTTTTTCGGTTTTAGTTATGCTGTAAAAGATTTGAAGCTATTATAGATGTTGTACGAAAAAACCTTAACTACGAATTTAACATTTAACATCCTAGATCATGTTGAATCTTCTTCCAGAATTTCCAAGAATTGTGTATAACTCACTCATGCTGTAGTGCCTTGAAGCTCTTGACGGGGGCAGTAATGCGGGATTCCAGCTGATAGCACCAGCGTATGAAGGCCGCCACCGAAGGACAATTGTAGTTCGGGTATAGCGTATCACCTACTCGGTTTAGCTCCATTTGCTTGTCATAAATATTCTCACAGACTGTCATCTCATCGTCGAGCATGCGAACTATTTCCGCATAGCGCTGTGTGAATTCCTCTTTGATTTTTGGACGATCTAACACGCTACCCACGATGCTTATAAGCTGTGCAAAGAGTGCAATACTTAAGTATTTAGCAAAGGAATAGAGTCTAAATATACTCTCACCTTAAATATACTCTCTAGATTATGACAATCATCGAATGCCTGACAGAGGATGGCGGCCAGCTTCATGTCTAGCTCCAGAATGCGCGTTTGGAAGCCCTTAAAGTCCTCATCGAACTCATGGTCATCGGGATCAAGCACGTCATAGCTCTTCGATGCGAATGCCGTAAAGTATTGATTGAACTCCACATAGACATCGGTTATCCTGGTGCTTAGCTGGCGGCCCCGCAGTCCACCGATTTCGACTTTCTCTAATTTCAGGAATTCAATCACAGTAAAGAAGAACCTGTAAAAATCAGAAATATAATACACCATCTATGTATATATAAACTAAATGTAGTTTTCGATTGTAAATACCACTGAATTGTTGTCAAACGCTCGAGGAACGCATTAAAGCGCTTGAAAACTGAATTTGGATGAAAAGTCCACAAAATCGGTGGACGCTCCTCAGGCTCCGTAAAGAAGGCAGCCAAGCGCTCCTTGTAATAGTCAAAGAGTTCCCGAAAGAACTTTAATATCTGTATAGAGAGTGTCAGCCGCTGCATGGCCTCGTCTATGTCACTGTGAAATATAGACGAGGGATCCAAATAACGCTTAGCCTGGAATTAAAAAGAGAGCAAATAACGTAGCATATGGACTTGCATCTGATTAGTATATGAATATATATGATTGGCAATCAGTTGACTGAATTGATTAATTTAAACTTTAATAAATTCCATTTTACAGAAAGGCGAATTGCTGATTGATTACATTTTCAACTGTCATCGTTATCCATCAACTAAGTGAATAAATTTCTGGCAGACTGACTGCCACTCATACTGCACATCCACAATATGTATATATGTACATACCTGATGTATAATCAAATTGCATATTTCCTGCAAAAGTACAGTTATTTTCGCAGACTGACAATAATAGCGTGAGTTGCCCCAAAGCGTGCAGACGGTGTGCATGAAAGGTATTAGTAGTGGCTTGAATTCGGCAAAATCTATTTCCTCCAGTTGATGCAGTGGACGTTTCAATGGGTTCAAATAGAGCGTTATATCCTTTGCCTCGGCAAGTGCTGCGATTGCCCAATCAAGTTCAAAACAGTTTGTTGGCATGCCAAAGGCAAAGATAGACAAATATATATACATATGTATGTATATTGAGTATACTCAATAGCAATGGCATGCTGTTTGGCCATTAAATTGACTGCACTCACCCGTGACAACGTTTTTGAAGAGCGTCTGAAAGCACGGATGGTAAGCACTCGACGAGTATTCCAATATTAAGGCCATGGCTCGTATGCGCTCATTGCGCAATTGGTCATAGATAAAGGATAGATTCTTAAGTCGATTGTTCCAAAATGTAAATTCTATGAGTAAGTTGATTGGGGCGATAAGAATTTAAATATAATTCGATTAACTAAATTATAGGTATAATATAGCATAGTATGAGTAGGAACGTAAGGAAACTGTATTATTATATATATTATATAATGACTATAATACATAAATATTAAACAATATTGGCTTTATATTTAGTAGTTGTATACAAAAAGAAAAATTCCCAAGTGTGGTTAGTTTTAAAATAATGAAAAACGGATAGCTTTTAGGCTATAACCGCTTTAGGCTTTGCCGTCATCGTCCACAAGTGAGGCCTTGCAGATGGCGAAAAAAATAGACGAATAAATGTCGACTGATAATAAAAAGGCCCCAAAAGTAATTGTTGTTTTGACATAAGGAAATGTTGCATGTCGCCATTCACCAAACAGATAATAAAAGCTAGTTTTGAAGACATTTTTACCCATATGACACACAGACAGGTACAGGCTAGGTACGCGGGTAATAAACATGCAAATTTGGCCAATGCCGGCACGTTGCTAGGATATATCAAAACAAACGTCAACTGCAAAACTTGAATTTTATCAATAAATAATAAATAAAGTTGTGCCAAAAATAACAGCAACTAAGTAATATATGCACGTATGACTAGAGCTTACGGCTGATGCTCACCTGTGTGTGGTGTGGGATTCTGGCCATTGACAAAAGCGTTCGTTGGACTCTCCTTGATGACTTCGTGTATCTGAGTCGCCCACTTGATGACCACGCCCTCGATGGCACTCTTCAGATACAAATCGAATTGGCAATGCTGCGTTTCGGTCAGCTCCTTGGCGGCTTTGACTATTTTCTCAACGCCCACGGGCATGGCCAGTATGGTTTCACCGCTCACCTGACCCTTGACCTGATGCACGGTGCTCTTTAAGCTGTGCACATGCTTCTGCACATCCTGCGCGACCATGATGGGCCAGCTTCTGTAGTTATCCTCATTGGAGAGCAACGGCACCAGCACCTCCTCGACCAGAGCGGACAGCTGGTCAATTGTGCGCGTGGCCAGGTCGCCAAAGATGATGAAATTGCCACAATTCTCACGTGGTATGGGCTTGGCATACCGTTTGATAAAGTAAACTCCTTTGCTCTTCAGCTGCGAAAGGGGAAACGTGGTGGAGGGCACCAGCTGCGCAGCGGGCGTCAATATGATAATTAACACCACAGGTGTATTTCGATCCAGAAACTCTTTAATTATGCCCTTGTGCTCCTCCACCGTGATGACACGCGTCCACTTCTCTGGCTTCAGTTTAAGGGATTTGATGACAAACGAGCCCATCAACTCCAGACGTGGATCCGGCCCGCCGGCTGCAGCGGCAGCGGCTGCCTCGGCGCTTGTGGAGGGCTGCTCCATTGAAGGCGCCCTCCAGGTGTTTGTTTGCTGTTGTTAACACTGATGTTGTTGTTGGTTGTTGTGGCTGTGTGTGAGCGCGTGTGTGTTAGTGTTTGATTGACCTTGTTACCAGTAACAACTATATAATCAATATATATCCTATCAAATCAATATTCTTATTAAAATTATACCAAAATTTCCTATGTGTAAAACAAAATACTTTTGAAGCCCTAAGCACTTATGTAATATATAGATTATGTAAGTTTTCTTCATAGCAGACAACAATTATTTAACTGTTATGTAAGCATAACTGCCATTTAACTGCGTTTTTGCATATATATTTTAATTGTTGTTTTTTTTTTTTTTTTTTTATATATATATATACAAAATTAACCTATTTTAAATCACTTTAAATAGCTGGACTACAGTTTTACTATTCTATCATATTTTTTTTTTCTTTTCATTATTTTCTATTAGTATTCTGGCTTTATTTTTATTTCCGTTTTGCGACTGCTCACCTGCGCTACCGTTAGCTGACTGAAAGGAAGTGCTTCGACGACAACGTAAGCCAGTTAGGAAAAACTGATCGTGGCAGCTCCCGGTTGCTAGGCATTTGTTTATTTTGCACCTTTACCGTTGTTGATTTCCCCTGTGCCATAACATTTGGTTGTCAGCCACGTTGCCACGCTTACTTCCGGCCAATTGTTGCGCCGCCATTTTATGTTGCCATTGCACGCAAACGCCTGGCACGTTGCCACGTGGCTTTCGGCAGGTAATTTGGGAATTGATTAGACGCTAATTCAATCTTTTATTGCCAACTTTGCTACGTAACTAAAAATAGAATGTGTACAATTAAAGGTGATAAGGACTAGCGATTTATTTTGACCTATCAGATTAGGGAAACCTTTGGATGAACAGTCATAAAAGAGATAATTCTGTTAACAATATTATAAATAATTTATTACAAATAATTATCTCATTTTKTATAAATAATATGTCTTATCTTAACATAATTTTTGAAATATATTATTAATATTTAAACAAATCCATTTTTAATAAATACAAAGCGCAAAGAGCGCTGCCATTTTAGCTTTCCCCTGCGATGTAAGCAAGCGAGTCATAATATATCGATTAGTGCATCGGTGATCAATTTACTTTTCCCTCGGAATGTTAGCAATCGATATGCAATATATCGATGATTTAGTCACTTTGTCATACCACAATTTGATTGCTTAACACATACATATGTAAATATACTCAGACGCCTTATATAATCTATTCAAAATATAAATATTATTTCTCTTTATTCATCAATAAATCCATTTGCGCCTAATTATAACAGCTTGTCGGTTGTAATTGGCTAATTTGTTAGGTTTGTTGCATGCCACAGTGTCAGCAGGCCGTCAAAAACTAAGCCACAAGCGCTTAGAATATTAATTCGCAAAGAGCTGGGAAACTCGCAGCAGTCACGCCAAAATCTGTTGCATATGTGCAACAAATGTGGAGTGCTGAGAGTGAGCCCCACTCTGCCAAATTTCCCCTACATATTTCAAGTTTATAGCATATTTGAGGCGCAGGCGTCAAGGTGCTATAAACAAACCAAAACAAATAACTGTTGCGCCCGGCGCAACAATGTTGCCAAGCCAACCGTAGCAACATTGCTGAGACGCAAACAAGCAACAGTTTCTTGCATGACTTCCGTATGCAAAAACTTTTGCTATTTCTATTTCTATTTTTTTATGAGAGCTACGACTATTGATTGACCTAGGCCTAGGCCTCGGTGCAGCAACGGTTCATTCAACCTGCTCGGTTGCTAGGAAAACCAGTTGCTCGCTCGTAATAAATATTAAAGCCCAATTATTGCCGGCAAACCGCAAAGCGGCTGCAAAGCAACTCATTGAAGCTGAAAAGTTACTTACATTTATAAATGTGACTTTGCCCAAGTCTATCCCAACACTTCTCGCACAATGCTGCAGTTGGGATTGCTGCTGCTGAGCGCCGCATCGGCAATTGTTGTCGAGCGCAACATGTTTGCCTACTACAAGGTGCCTGTGCGGCTGCTCGACCTGGCCAGGCCTCATGCAAACGACTCTTCCACTGCCGGCCTCTACTATGTGCTACAGTGTCCGCCCAAGCTGGACGACATCATACCCAAGCCCAGAGACATGCAGACCTGCCAAGTGGTGAACCACTACAGAGATAAGTCCCGAAACTCCAGATACAAGTCCAAAAGACTTCGGCCTGCCCGCACTTACCTCATACCACTGCCGCCGACAACCGTTAAACGTATGCGCTGGGGCTGGCGTCAGCGTCGCAGCAAACGCCATAACCAGGACACAGCACCAGCCCAGGAACAGGCCACCCCACTTTTATACCTTGGCCAGCCGCATAGCCGTCAAAAGCTGCTCAAACTGGCCGCGGATCATCGAAAATTTAAGCGAGGCAACAGCTCCAAGGGCTACCAGCACATGTACCATCGCGATGAGGTCTACAACGATCATATCTTCTACGATGAGCTCCAACTTGATGGTCAGTACCACAATCTGGGGAAAGCTAAAATTGGAAACTAGTATACCATAAATTATTCACTATAAATATAAATAAATATCCAATATAAACATTTGCAGCAAAGCTCCAATTTATTCCATAGGTAAAATTGTAAGAATAATGTTAACAAATTAAATTCTATTACTAAATTCTAATACCTAAAACTATTTTCAAACACATCCCATCAAACAAGAAATAAAAAACTCATTTCATTAAGCTAAAGAACATTCAAGAAATTCAAGTAAATAAAGCAACAAACCAATATACTCTCTTTCACATTAAGAACAGTATATATATATATATATATATATGCAATTAATATTCGTCTGGTAGAAACAGATCGTCGTAGGCGACATTATCAAAGACCCTTTTCAGTATTAACGTAAGGCATAGTTCAAAGGTTTTCAGCATACTTGGCTCAAGCTCTTGCCAAAACTCTAGCCAATTTTCATTGATAACATTGTTCATCACAATTGTCATATCCGTATTTTCAGTATATAATGAATCAAGCGAAATTATCCATCTAAAAAACAGGAAGAGCTCTCTAAATATATTGTGAGACATTTTATTCTTCTATTTTCTTACCGCTGCAGATCGACTTTGGGCTTCAGTTCATAGATGCGCAAGTATCGCTTGTTATTGCGATATTCCTGTATAGTCTTTATCAGCATTTCCAAACGAAAGTTAAGAAATTCTGAACAAAAACTTCCCGTTGCATTTGCTCTAAATAACAAAATACGAGACAGCATATTATAAGTACCTTTATGAATGAGCCTTGGTATATGAGCTTTAATTATCATGCTGCTACTACTCGGATCCTTATTAAAGCCAATGACTTGGGTTATGGTTGCGTTGTTGAATCCCTTGTTGGTTAAATTTTGTAAGTAAAATGATAGCCAAACTGAAGCACCATTGGGCCTGTTCACAATCGAGATATCGTCCAGCTGGGTTACATTCAACGGAGCCAAGCCAATCCCCGGTATACCATTTGGATAACGCCTAATCAAGTCGTTTATAGTATTAATAAGGCATTGGGAGTCCCCAAAGTGGCATTTTTTGATATCATCGGCTGCATATACATATATCAATGTTTAACTAATTGAAGTCAACAATTGCTGCAAAAATTTGATTACTCACGCAGCTCTATTCCCAATGAAGTTTTATACAGCATTAACAATATGACGAACAATAAGGAATATTTATGCATTCCCAATTCGAGTACGTTTAAATATGCTATAAATACTATTTAAAAATTTACCTATATATTATTTTTTTTACCTATTACGTTTGCTTACAATCACGACACGATTTCACTTAGAACCTGCTTCAGCCAATGCTCGGTTGTAAATAAAATCAAGAGAGTCAAGTTTATAGTCAACTATCTGGAAAACCGGATTGTCAGTTAAATGAATGTATATAATTTTAAAAACTATAGATATATATTTCCTGTTACATTAATTAACGCTTTCACAGCTAATACAAATCTGAGCTTAGATTAATTGCTGATTCAGTCTCATTATCCTTGAGGAACATGTCGTCGTAGGATATTTTTTCAAATGTATCTGCAATCATACTCGTAAATACACCGCTGAAAATGTTCAGAAATGCTGGTTCCAGTTCATTCCAGAACTCCAACCAGTTCGTGTTAAGCAGCTCATTGATTGCAATTGTTAGATCCATGTTCTCGGGAAATAAATTATCCAACCACACAATCCAGCTGTCAAATTAATTTTGATCAAATAGTGCGTTGCCTATATATATACATATAATATCGATGAGGGTAGTTTGAAAAGTTTTCCAACTAACAAGAATATATTGTATTTTTGTATTTAAAAACGAATTCCAATTTCCAGATATGTTTCTATCTTCATGTCAATCTTTCAGACCACCCTTGTATATGTATAATTTTATCAAACTCACCGACTTATATTGACAACTGGAACCAGTTCATATATTTTCAAATAGCGCTTATTATTCCGATATTCCGGTATGACTTTCAGCTTCAATATGAAACGTAGATTCTGAAAATCCGATGTTGAGCTACCTGTCGCATTTAGGGCAACCATCCAAACCCGTCCCTTGGCCACATAGTTTCCCTTGTGAATAAGACTTGGTATCTGTCCGTGTATTTCCATTATGGTGGCTGTTGGATCCTTCCCGAAACCTTTGATGCGCTTTACTGTCGTATTCTCAAAGCCATAATTCGCTTGATTGAATAGCTTGAATTGGAACCAAGCACCACCAATTTGGGCATTATTCCAGACATTCGAATCCTTAATGTTCACAACGTCGATGGGCTTCATACCGATTGCAGACAATCCGTGTGTATATTGTCGTATCACAGCATTCATTGATCCAACAATACATTTCGAATCACCAAAACGGCATTTCTTTATATTGCTTGCTACGCGAATTGAGGTAAAGAATAAAAAACGCTATAGCAAAAAGAGATTTGTTTTTATAGAAACACAATTGTATTTTTCTACCCACGTAATGTTTGACTCTTTATTGCGATAAACAGATGGAGCCCGATCACAATAAGAAAGGTTTTACGCATACTTGAAATATATATCATGTATATATACATACAAGTCCAATGTCTGTCAGAGAACAATCCACTTGTATTTGCCCCAGCGTTTAAGCCTTGAATAAAAGCGAATACCTTTTCAACAGAACATTTATAAGCTCAGCAAATCAAAACGCAATTATCATAGTTTTATAAACCGGTTCTTTGTAAGAAATGAATAAAATAAAGGAATTAAACTAAGTTCCGTACATCAATTCTAGTTTTCATATAATTAGTGGAGAGTATGCAATGTTGAGCTTCGAATTGTCATTTAATACTAAATGCGATAGCTTAACCTGTACGAGTTTATGTGTATGTATGATAATATACTGCTACTTTAAATCCATTTAGCAATTATATTTGGTATAGCTGAGTAATCAAACGATGTAAAGTTTCAATTCACATTTTCATTATTCGATAGAAACATATCGTCATAGGAAACATTATAAAATATATCTTCGATCATGCTTAAAAATACACCCGTAAATACTTCCAATATTGGCTTTTCCAGTTCATTCCAAAACTCCACCCAATTCGCATTGAAAATTCTATTCATGGCAATGGTCAAGTCTGTATTTTCTGGAAAAAAGTTCTCCAGCCATTGTATCCACCTGCAAGTGGAACAATGCATAATTTTTTCAAAATATAGAATTTACTTACCGATCCACGTAGACATTGGGAACCAGTTGATAGATCTTCAGATATCGCTTACCATTACGATATTCCGTTTGCACTTTCAATGTGAAATCGAAACGAAAATTTAGGAATTCCGATTCAGATTCGCCAGTTGAATTGATTTGCACCATCCAAAGCAATCGGCCCATGGCTTTATATATGCCTTTATATATTAGTCTGGGTATTTGTCCTTTGATTATTATTTTCGATGATGTGGGATCTTCGTCGAAGCCCTTAATATCAATTATAGTTGTATTCTCGAAGCCGTAATTGATCTGATTGAGCAGTTGAAAAAAATACCAAAGTACACCCTCTTGCCGATCATTAATGAGCACCGTATCCTTCACATGTACCACATCCAATGGCTTCAAACCCACCGAGGGTATTCCCTTTGGAAAATTACGTATCAGCGCATTTGCAGTATCCCGAATACAGGTGGTATTCCCAAAGCGGCACTTCTTGATATGCTGAGCTGAGAATTAAAAGTAGAGATCACCAATCTACACCTCAGTCAAACAGGTAACGATTTTATTTTATTTTTTTTTTTTTACGCACGTAATATTGAGCACTCCGAATTAAGAGTTAGCTGCAGTCCGATTAATACTATCAAAAGTTTCCGCATCTTAGACCAATGCAAATACTTGCATCGTTCTGGACAGTCAGCACTCAAGTAAATCCCAGTAAGTTATTTTTTAATTTTTAGTCTACTAGAAGCATATCGATTAACATAACCTGTTCTGAGTAAGTCACCATATGATAGTAATTGAACCGGCTCTAGTACCTACTACTAGAGTCCGTTTATATTCTGTCTAGAGCAGGTTGGTTAGCTTTGCTACCGAACAGCTTCTGGTTAGATTATACAGCTGATCGAAATACTAGGAAAATGTAATATACAATAACACTTAATTTGTGCTTATCTAGGGCCACTATTATTCCCAAAAATAAAGGTATCCCCCTGACTATTGATATTATGTATGTATTCAAGAGCTTGCCTTCAAAGGGAGCATATTTTCAGCGTTTTCTGGGATTAAATAAAATAATATTTAATATTTATTTTACATACATGTACATATTAATATGAGTTTCTCATTTATGAAAGTCATAAATCGGTTTACGCCTTTCCTGTCGTATAGTAAACAACGCCTCAATAGTCGAATTACCCCACTCGTAAGTCGTAAAATGTTGAGCAAACATTTATTATTCTGTCCGTCACCTACACCGTAATTAATACTTAACTATCAAGTGATTCATTAGCTAAAAAGGTATATCATTTAGCTTCCGTTTGCATATCATCCAATTAAATGTCAATTATATCTATTTAAGACTTGATGACAAGACAAAGTGACGCGTCACGAAATAAAATATCGAAACTGATGCATGCAGCCAAAAGAATGCTTAGGTAGACTTTCATGTTAAAGACAGAAATACCATTTCATATTTAATCTTATGAATAAAATTTTTTTTTTATTTTAAGTGATTTACACAACAATAGAAAACAATTTGATGGCAAAGGTGAAACGTGTCTTAAAACGGTATAGACAAATCATTAAGATGTGCTCCACCCAATGATGACATATATTTAATTGTGAATTAATAAATATAACTATATCATAAATTACAAATAGTTGTTCAATAAAAGCACACAACATGAAATATTTTTTAAAAGAATTTAGGAAATATTTTTGAAGAGGGCCCGTTAATATTAACATAGATGTATATTATTTAAAATTGTTTACGGTTTCTCAGTTCACAGCCTTATAAGTAATATATAAATATAGTTTAAAATATATATATAAATGTATATGTGTGTGTTTATATTATATAATAATTATTATCGATTACCGTACAGGGAACTTAAGTCTACTTTGAATGCCACACGTTTATCTTTTATCGAGGCATTTTACAGTTATGTGTTTATGTATGCACATGGTATGTATGGTGTTGCTAAGAAAATCTGCCTTGGATTTTTTGGTATACTGCGTACATCATGTTGAAAAAATTATGCTATGAAATCGTATTACACTAATTCCCAAGATTTCGGCTTTCAAGCGAACAGCGCGAAAAGCGAGACCCAATTTCTGATATGATGAACTAGGTGCTGGGATAGGGTCTGTGGATAGGCTGCGCTGTTTGCGACGGGATGGTTTATTTTTATTACCGGGGCAGACCTGAGCCGAATGCTAGCTGATGATTACATGACCATTACTGGCATTATCCACATTACTGCTGTGGCAATTCAGCTCATTGTTATTGCTGCTAAAACAAACCTCCTCGCTGCCATCGGAATCAGTGCAGAACAGTAATGGCTACGCATCCTCACCGTCCATGATATCTGCATCTGTGTCTGCATTGGTGGAAATTCTGCAAATGGAAGATATTATGAATTTGGATGAATGACTACATAACTGTAGCTGTGTGAGTCTGTGTGTATATGTCTATATGATGAGCTGCCTTGAGACCTATGGGAGAAGGGGCACAGCATGTGCTGACACTGATCCGATTCGAATCTCTTAAAGAACAGCAAAATCAATTAGAAGCTACATAGTTCCACATTCAAACAGAGCCATATGCTATCTACACAAACAACATTATACTGTTGCTATCTACAATAATTTGTTAGTAAGAGTTTAGGAATACAACATCACATAAAAGAAGGGAACTACATACGAAACATAGAGACACAATTATTAAGAGTTAGAACACTTGAAGTTTTCAAATAAAAATACAACTCAGAAAGAACCATGCATATATCCCAGCAGATATAACTGATTGGACATATTTTCTTTATTGTGGGAGTGAGCCAGGGTCAAAAGGTTTTACGATAATTTTTATTATTTTATAGCTATTTACAAATAAAGCTATTTACAAAATAAAGCTACGGTTTTTCAATTATTATAAATAATTACGTCTACAGAACTATCAATAATTATTCAATTATAATTAACATCACTTTGATATACGCAAACGACACAAACGAAAGAATCTCTTTATT